TTTTTAAAGTCATTATATTACTTGCTCTACGAAATAGCAAAATCTTAGAATTTTTTTTCAAAACAATTTTTCCAAAAATTAAAAGCCCAAAAGACCAAGGTGTTGATTACATAAGAAAGTTATCAAGGCTGGGAGAAGCAGAATGTGATTAATAAATACAATGAATCCCCGATCTACTGTGCTTAGAAACAAAAAGAGGGACAAAAAATTTCGTTGAATGTAACCAATTTACACATAGGTCATTGATCAATATGTTAAGCATACTTACAAATAAAGTTATTGTACAGTTACAATGCTTGATTATTCCAAATGGTTATTGAATTAGTTACTTTTTGAATACTTAATGAACTTCTCGGCTAACCTTGACAATTCCAATAACTTATTGACAACAAAAAACTTATTTGGTTACAACAGATAGGGTGCCTCTCCTTATTTGACAAGAAATTATTGGATATAAAAAATATCAAGTTTCTTTTCCACATAATATCTCTAACCTGTATGTACTTTCCTATTAATGACATTGCCATTATATTGGACGTGACGATATTTGAACCTTAATTAACTTACTTGAGTAAGTCTACATTTTACTATGGAGTAATGATAAAAATGTTCTATTTATGTTCTAATTTACTCTGTCTATTCCATAACAGGGGCGTAGCAAACTCGTTGATGAGGAAGGGGGGAGGGTACAAATTTATGAATGCATGTTTTAATCTATAGAAAATAATGGATTTCAAAAAGAATTTAATTCTGCAGAACATGCTTGTATGAATACGCTCTCCCCCAATTATTGAGTTTGCTAAACAATTGCATATGGATGTAATATTTATGATCATTGTAACAATTTCAATGGTTGTAAAAAGAGAAATTGTATTTCGACATGCCATAACAAATTACAGTCATCAAAGCTCTGGAGGAACAGACTTAAAATCAAGATGAAAGTCCATATTCTGCCTGCTGTCCTCAAAGAGATTGCTGACCTCAAGGTCTATTAATTCAAGTCCATTTAGTTCATCTTGATTTGTTTCCTGGAGTGAATTGGCATCATCATCTTGATTTGTTTCCTCTGTCAGAAATTATAGAAATTCGTAAAAAGATTTTTTATTTGTTTGAAAATGTAGTCGAGAACGGTATTTAGTGAGAGACAGGCAATCTATTGGCGAGTGAAAGTCATAGTGGAATACATCGTAAACAAGCTTAAAGAAAGATGACAGAATCAAGCACAACCAGATTTCTCAAATGGATCACTTTAGGGCAGGCTCTGTGAACTGTGAGTTTGGCTGTCCCTAGAAAGTTAATGGGAGAGGGGGCTTAATCACAAATTTAGTTGCGTCCAACTGATTTCTTTTGAAAGCAATTTACTGAAAGTGCCAATGCAACGAAAATTTTGCAAGTTGAATTATGTTTGCAATGACTAGAACCTTTGAAATTACAGTGTACTTTCTAAAACAGTAAATGCATATTCTTGTGATTTTGATGTTTTTGTTATTTCCATATTATTTAACTTGTGACGTCATATAACATAATGAGTTCCCACAATGTTTCAAATACTCTTCAGTTTCCTGACAACTTAAGGTTGATACAAGTAGGCAGCATTTTATACCATTAACCCCGTCACAATGAAAGGAACTCTGTCATTGTAAAGTAAAATATCAGTAAATACACCTAATAATTTTAGTTCTCATTATGCAATGTGACGTCACAAGTTAGATATAATGGACATAACAAGAACATCAATATCTCAAGAGTTAAAAGTGATATGCATAAATTGGTTTAGAATGTCCATAGTCATTTTAAAATATCTCTTCAATAAAGTATTACTCAGATAACAAAATTTTCGTTTCATAGGCGCTTTAAGAAATTAAACAACTCGCTTTCAAAAAAAATCAATCAGGCACAATTGAGTATATGAATAACACACACTCTCTCACCAATCAATGTTTACCAGGTGGCCGTGACTGTGAGATGTATGTGCGGGGGTATCAAAAAATAGTCAGTGACGAAAAACTTTCCTAAATTGATCAGCGCGCAATCTTTGCAAAAAGTTTAAGTGGAAATAGGCAGTTGGTCTTCCAATGGTTCATCTGATAGTTAAGTAAAATTGTTTCAAATAATAACCTTGTTAGAGGGAGGAATGTGTTTTTCAGAGAAGTGCTTTTGAAGTAGCTCACGCACAAAAATGACAAAGCTAAAAGATATTTAAACACATAGGATTAAAATATGTCACATTTTGTTCAAGCAAATGAAGTTTCAGGGAATTTGGCAAAAGCGTACGCGAACAATTAGCTTCCAAATCACAGATTATTTTGTTTTCGTTTTTGAATACCTTTTTATAGCTCTTCAATTTTGTGTAAATTTCAGTTTCCAAAAAACCTGAATCATTATAAACAGAAAAATTGATGATGATTTATGTAAAATGTCTTATAAACGGAAAAACACAAATCAATCTACGATTCGGAAGATGAGCGTTCGCGTAAGAATAGTCCAAATTTACTGAAACTTTATTAGTTTGAACAACATATGCCATATTTTAACCTTATGCGTTCCAATTGTAATCTATTGTTGTCATTTTTGGGGCATACTATTTTAAAACAGTTTCTCGTTTACAAATTTTTTACTCAACAACGATTATGATTTACGAAAATTTAACTGTAATAACGTAAATGGTTTGAAGCCCGCCGTATCGTTACATGTTTTTAGATGTAGATCGTCATGGTTAGTAGAGTCCTGAGAAAGTCAACTTGACTTTAAAGATGACTACTGCTAAGGAAGTCAAAACGTCAATCAACAACAACAAAAACAGTCCTTCTCATAACTCTACTAAACTGGACGATCCACATCTACAAACATGTGAAAATTTGACATTAGATAAATCATTGTAAGTCAAACTACTTATTTTCACCAAAGGTTTTTGCAAACCTTGCACGCTGATCGATTTAGCAACGTTCTCTCAACTGTGTTGTTTTTTCAATTTTCTCCAATCCTTTGGGGTAACCATTACCTCCGTAGGATTTCTAGCACTTCAACAAGACAGCATATTGATAATTACTGTCTCGATTCAGAGACAAATCGTTCGTTCGTAGGGCCGTACTGCCACTGTAGGGATTCCAATGGAATATGAATTTCAACAATCGGTTGAAACTAAAAAATACGTCAAACATGTCAAATACATCGTAAATATGAGTGGACAACAATTAATAAGAATTTATAAAATTTCAATGTTGCCAGTGAGGTGCCAGGTGTGAATCGAATTCTAAATATAAAGATAAGATCCCAAAAGATCGTGTTTGAGAAAGCCATCGGCATTTGATTTTTTCAGTACTTATTTAAAAAAGCAAGCGACGTTTCGTCTTGACTCAAGACTTCTCAGACTAATTACATAGACTTAAGCCTGGGCCACACTATCGTCTATATTCACGAAAACGAAAACAAAACGAAAATTCTTTCACGAAATACATGCCAGACACGACGTAAAATTGCAAGCATGTTTACAAAGATCGGCTAAAACGTAAACAGTATTATTGCTGGATGTGTCTTTGTAGTAGACGTTGCAGTAACAAAACAAGCAAAAACAGAAAAGGTGTCTTCCTCTGGCAAGAACTTACTCCTTCTGAAGTATAAAGCAAGCATTTAGCAAGACAACCAAACTCCGATACTAGATTGACCCAATTAATAAACGACGTGATCGACTGGGATTATTTAACAATTTGAATAAAGAGTTACGAGAACAGAACAAAGAAAACAGACTCATAAAATACTTGCGAATGACGACAAATTGTTTTTTCTCGCATCGGATTTATTAAAACTCATGCCACCCCGCCATCTTTGTGTATTAAGTTTTAGATTATTAGCCAATTGCATGCGTTTTCGTTAACGAAAAAGGTCGAAAGTTCAACTCTTCTTATAAACACAAAAACGAAATTTTCGTTGAGTTTTCGTTCAATATTTTCGTTGCGGCAGTTTTCGTTCTAATTTTCGTCGATATGGACGATAGTGTGGCCTTGGCTTTACTACGATGCTCAAAAGTTCCTGTTTATTACTTTTGTTTTGCTGTGTGCCCTTTCACAGGAAGCAACTATCTATAACTTCCTTTTTTCAGGTCTTAAAAACACTTTAATTGGTCTTTGGAATAGTTGGGAGAATGCACGTCCCCCTCAGCTCTTTTCATGGTAAACTTCTCCCCATTACTTACCCCCCTTATATCTTGTACAGTAATTCTTACATTTCCTTACAATACTCAATATCAGCTTTACACTGTAAGTACACATCCACACAAACCTCACACCTTAACTATCTAAGTAATTACATCTCATTTGAAGATGTCTTGAGTCGAGACGAAACGACAAACGTCACTTGCTTTGTTTTAATAAATATCAAAGAAATCGAACGCTTATGGTTATCTTTGAAACGATGTGTTGGACTCTAACATTTAGGTTGATGATTCATAAATTTCTTTAATATTTCAAACATGTTACCCTCTTCAGTACATAAAACATTGTCTAATTCTTGTTGATCAACGTTATCAACGTCGTCGTCGGCGCTCATGTTTCACTGTATAAAGAAAAAAACGTCAAACTAGATGAATTGGTCAATTTTGACTTCAAAATATCATTTAATTTCAATAAACATCGACTACAAATCATCTAGAGTTGCAACTACATAATAAGTACGTTTCTCGAGCTTATTAAGCAGCGAAAATCAACTATTAATAGCAAAAAAGGATTCAGAAAACACGCAGAAGTCGATTTAATATTCTGTGGTTACCCTTAGGATTTTGTAATGAAATGTCGATAGGCTGAATTTCCCCAGAAAGATGTTGACTTTATTCAAGAGCTGTCGAAATCTATGATCTTTTTTCCTATAGCTACAACAAAACATTTAATGTACTCTCCCTCGACAAATAGTGAGCCTAATTTCCCGAGAGTCTCAATATAGATTTGGTGTAGTGGACAAATGTGAAAATTATTCAAGACACGATATAAATCAACGCACATATATCGTAAAATGTCTGCAAAAAATATATTTATACAACGATTATTTCCTCCAATAACATACAAATTAATAGTACATAAAATTATGTTAATACGCCTTAAAAAACATAGTTCAACAAAACATCACGCAAAAAGAAAGTTTCCCCTAAATAATTTATTATAAGTGCTAAATAAATGAATCCAAACCAGACTCTAAAATGCCAACGGCAATTTTTCTGTTTTGATACAATGTGGGTATTTTTTAACTTGCTTTACAAGATGACAGTTACCAAAAAATGTTACTAAATATTGAGTGAAAGTTATTAAACAACTATTCAATGCTATTTTTCAAAATTGGTATTTTTAAATTCAAGATACAACACCTCCTTTTGTAAAGCACGATTGATGTAATTCTTCCCATGGCATTTGGCAAATTACTTTTAGTCCAAAAATTGGTGTTGAGTTATCTAGGATTCATTTATTTAGCATTTAACATTCAAAGAGCAAAACGAAAATCAAGAAACTTAAATATAGAGAATAAAAACGAAAAGTTTTCATACTGTTTAACCTCTCGCAAACGGACATCATTGAGACCACAACCTAATGTCTGCTTATGGTAGATGTCCGTTTATGAGTTGTTATAAAAGATATCTATTCACTATACGTAGATATGTACACAACAATATGAAATAAAATTTAATTATTTAAAATTGTTCACTACATAAAAAATAAAACATAGTATATCTACAAAGGTGACATCTTGAAAAAGAAAGACGATAAAATTTTCCAAATTTCTCCTTCTCGTAACTTGATGTCGTTCTTTAATGTTGAAGTCATTTTTGTTGTAAATGCATTGTTGACCATTTATATGAACTAAACTGATCACTTTTATTCTACAACCATCCATAGTTGACGTTTGCAACATTTTCATGACATGTTGCGGATAAGATCTTAATTCATATCACAAATGTTATAGTATCATTCAAGTACATACATATTTCAGAGCATGCGCAAAGGCGATCAAGTGCCACAATGACAGTCTGTTTGTATCAAGAAGCAGCTTCAATGATGCAGCAAAAAAATCGTTTAGCCATCTCCAATAGCAACAGTGTACTAAAATCAAATTCTTTTTATTCACTGTCATGATTACTTATCTGTTATGTTCACATGAAGACGTCCACATGAGATGATAATTTTCACGCTTCAGTTTTATAAAAAGTGAACAAAGTGAACAGCCAGCTTCACCATTTTAATAATGTAAAAGTTCATATCTTCCAATTTTGATTGAACAGATGACATTTCAATGAACATGTGACCTGGGAGACGTTATAAAGTACAACAATAAATCCACAGAAAAACATGATACATAAATTAGTCATTTATGTCATTACGTCACTTCCTGAAATAAAGCTTCTCCTTCTTGTGTTGATATTGTTAAAAAATACCTCCCATAAGTATCGATTCACAAAGTAAAAGTGTTCAAACTTTAACAACGCTTGATATCGATTTTTCATTAAAAGTTAAAAACCTCTCATTAAGCACCCTTCCATATGCAACATTGTGGTTTGTTCTCTGTCTCTCCATATTGAAAAACTTTCTTTGACTTTAGTTAACTTTTCCTGTTCGTACAGCTACACATGGTTTGGAGTGTTCCATCTCAATGGTTATATTGTTTATTACGATGATGAACGTCAATCATAAGTCATTTTATTGTGGAATTTACGACTTACTTTTTAACAGTCAGTGAGAAAGACAGCCAAATTTTTAGTTTTTCTTTAAAAAATTAGCAAAGGTACCATTGTTTTATTATAAATTTACGTTTTTCAATTGATAAGAATGAAAACATTCATATAACCGAAGTAACAATTGGGATGTCTTTGTCTCTCTTAACAACTTAACACATAGACATTTTGTATATCAAAATGCAATAATTAAAAAGTATTAAGAAATTATTTCAGTGAAAGATAGTAATGATTTGATTAGTAAAAACTTGTTTTTGGTGTAAAAGAGAATCGAAAAAGGAGCAATTTTGAAACCATCCTACACTGAATACATTTGCATGATAATTATATGTTTACATGGTGTAGATATAAACAAAATATAACCTGTGGTACAATAACTAACAATAGTTTGCATTTTATATGTTTGTGTGATAAGACAAAAGTCAATAAAATTATATTCTTGTGCAAGGGAAATTATTATCTTAGACACGAAATCATTTGTGTTTATGGTTTGTCTTTATTTTCATTGAATTTTCATCTTTTATTGATTAACTTTAGCTTTTATACATGATCTCTCTAAATGTTGACATTATCGTAGACTGCGGTCTCTGTACAGAACAATCAAAATTAGACAAAGGTCGCTTTATGAAATCATACGCAAACAGACATTAATTGAAATGTCAACAATGATAGGGATCATGCATAAAAACTGAACAAGATTTTCTTAAAGATAATATAGTCATTATCCAAAACGGTGAGAAATTCTATCATCAAAGATCAAATTTATCCTCGTGGCAAGATGATTTTTACGCATTGTAGTGGGACCTTTAAGGAAAAAATTAAAGCAAGTTTGCGTTTACGACAGTAATATAAAATTCTTTCAGATATTTTCACAAGCGGCAAAAGTAATTCTACAGCCTTAAAATATTTCAAATCAATCAAATTGAATTGATTAATAATTATATACCTATCATCAACAAAGAAAAACTCAGGTAAAGCCTTAAAAGCCCAAATAATTTGTATGTTTTTAACGTCAAATACTTTCACATCCACATTACTGTAACTTATTGCTAAATTATCTGCTGAAGGTGAAAAAGCAGCGTAATATATAAAGCGAGTAAGATGACACAGGTCATTTTCAACGTCTTCTTTGGGGAATAAATCGGCGATTTCCTCCTTAATAATTACGTCATCCCAACCATTAACTTGTTTGTCTTCATGCCACATACAGAAAACAATCTGATCCTCAAATTCAACTTTAGCAAACACGTGATACTTAGAGCTACATGCAAGTACGTGCACATTTCGATAATTTTCAAAATTCACTGATATTTCTTTTCGCTTGTTTTCAACATTAAAAAATAAAAAAGAATCAGTTTTTTGACAAGCAAATGATACATCACTCACCTCAAAAATTTTGTTTGTACCTTTTAGCTCATCGAAACTATAAACAAGTTTTGTCAAATCATTATTCCAAAGCTCAGGAATATTTTTTGCCGTAAGCAAAATAACTCCATTTTCTACAGCAACCATGTCACTAACAAAATATTGCTTGACAACAAAGTCAAATGTGTTGAGATTGTATAAAAATATGCTTGAATTTTCTTCATTGCTTCGATACAGAAATTTTCCATTTGAGCAAAATTTCTCTTTACGAAAACTGTCACTGTTAGGTAAACATGCACGCGGTATTGAATAAAGATAAAAGTCAAATCTGTATTTAAACAAAAGAACATTGTCGTTATTCAAAATAAAGTAAAACATTTCTGACCCATCAAAGGAAATGCTCGATCTCTTGTCATCGAAAGGATCAAGAGCACGCGGCAAAAATCCCAGAGCAGGATTCAAGTCAGGAAGTTTCTCACCAGTGGGATTCACATAGAATTTTCCCCACCCTTGATAACACCAAGAATGAAGACCAACAGTGAACAAAGCACTAAAGTTTGTAGTAAAATTATTCAGTAAATGATCGTAGTAAACGAGTGTTTCATAATTATTCGCTACATCAAATATTAGAACCACGTTGCTTTTCTTAATAACACACAAATATCTTCCAGAATTAGAAAAACACAGTAAGGTCACCACATCATTACATCTAATACTGCGTTTCTTCTCACCTTTCTCAACGTCCCATACTGTCAAAGTATCTTTGTAACTAGTGACCATTGTGTACTTATCCTTAGAAAAACATTTGTTGGTAAAGAACTTAGAAGTAGAATCATCACAAAGAAACGGACTGGAGGAAATTTTACCATTAATATGTAATATCTTATCAAGCTGAGAAGCAAAAATCAAATCTTCGAATGGATGAAAGACAACGCAAAATTCTTTCTCTTCATATTGCTTAAGCTGACCAGCAATATTTTTTATCCATAAACATTGGTTTGTTCTCAATGAAAAAAGTTGCACGACAAATTCATAATAACCACAGACGACGTAATCATGATTTCGTGAAACATCAACAGAAAACAAATATCGATCTAAACGCAATAATCGAGCATTTAAGAAACCCGTATCTCTGTACTCTAGATATGGTGAATCTTTGAAACGTGTTCGAAGCATTGTGGTGGCTTGAGACGACAGATCTTTGACGTCGTTGGCAACGTTTTGCAAAAAAACTAATCCATTGTTATAGTACGTGGGGCAGCGCACAAAGTACGTCATTACAGAATAAACTTCATTAAATAACAATCGAGTGTCCTCAGAAATAAGAAAGTACACATCATGTGCGTTGAATAGTTTAAAATTTTCTAAAGTGCGACGAGAGTCAACCAAAATAGAAGCAACTAAAACTTCCAAGTCAACAAGATATTTACCAACATTTTCAACGATACATTCATTACCAGAAATATCAAGTAAATGAAGCAACCAATTCTTGACTGAATACCTCACAGTCACATGTTTAATGACATCACAGTTTACACCTTGAGCTTTGAGGTTATCCAAAGATTTTAAACAAAAATCTAAAACAAGTCGATGACCACAAGAAGTTTTTACTGAGTAATCATGATTTCGATCATCCAACAACCAATCACTTAAAGATTTGTGAAAAAACGAAACACATCCTTCTTCATTGCTAACAAACAGACAAGAAATAATTTTTCTAACCCCAAGTGATATGCGATTCGAATTCAAACAAAGAACGTCATCGATCATTTTCCAAGGAAGAGGTTCTCTAGCAACAGCCAGAGCATTTAAAATTGACTGAAACTTTTCGTTACTAATATCAAACGAATCTAATTCCTTATTTAATCTTGTTAAGCAAATTTCGTAATACTCACTGAGATCTTTTGGTATGGAACCTTTCAACAAATCCTGATTTTTTACTTCGCTGCTAAGAAGTGATGCAAGCAACATAAGTCCGTCAGTTTTTTCTGCCAAACTGTTTTTAACATCAGGAAGGCAGTCAGTAGAGCCAATTCTTTCTTTAATCAAAAATTTAATATCCTCTAAGTTGCGATAATCGCTACAGTTAATGAACAGTGGATTTAATTTTTCGAACTTATTCAAAGCAACTTCGTTAGGTCTGGTTGTAATTACAAAACGAAAACAAGGCGGAAGTTTGTGTAAGTGATTAGCAATCAAATTAGCAAGGTCGTCTCTTTCTGGATAACCACATTCATCAAGGGCATCAAGCACAACTAACATTCGCTTGGGAAGTTCTGAGATATTATAAAACAACTCAGTAAAAAGAAGGGAAAATAATCCTTCCACATTCATGTTATTCAAAGGCTCAGAGAGTTGACCTGAAAGTTTTTTCACAAGAAGTTGTTTGTAAGCAGGAAACTTACGACTAACTTGCATCGCTAAAGATTGAAGAAGTACATTGGCTTTATTGTAACGACTGTTGTTGTGTTGAAAGAAATGAACTGCAGTCAAATATTGTGGATAACGTTTACATAAAGTAGCTGCAATTACAGACTTTCCCATGCCAGCTACAGCAGAAATAATAAATGCACGATTTTGAGAAATGTCGTCTTCAAACCAAGCCAAAAACTCATCAAAAACCCATTCCCGTGTTCCCTTCAAAAATTTTTCATAATGATGTCTAATTTCACTTTCAAAGTTACAACTTACAAGCTTTTTTGTCCAAATATCTTCTACTGGACGTGAGTGAATTTGACGTTTTATTTCTTCCTGATTGCTTCTCATTTCTTCCTGATTACTTTCAATCACACACAAACGATTCTCTACCTGTTGTAAATCTTTCTCTACACCCTCCACTGTTCTCTTAATACCTCTCTGGTCAGTTTTAATATCAGTTATATCGTTCTTTAATCTATCCCATTCTCTCAAAATTCTTTCACATTCTTCATTACCAAAAAACTCATTTTTTAATCTATCTATTTCTTCCTGACTTATTCCTAAACGAACTAATGGTTCGCTTATTTCCAGCCAAAAATTTTCAAAGTCATCAAAGCTTACTGAAGTGCTAGGTAAGTGAGCAAAACGATCATTACGAAAGAACCTGATACGGGCAATATCTGCTTCAGTTGAATGATCAGAGGGATCATTTACTGACGTCCATATTGGATCACGAGGTATTTTTAGACCACAAATATTACGCAGGAGAATACAAAGTAAAGTAATGTCAAGCTTATTTTCATTTGGTAATATTGGAGGAGGAGGATACAGTAGATCCCATTGATGTTGCTTTATTTGCTTATCTTTTAGCGACAAAAGCTTACGATAATTTTTATTGTTATTTAAAACACTGAATAAATCATTACCTGATAGTTGTTTCCTCAATGTTATTCTTAAAGCTTCTCCACCAACATCAACAATTAATCTCATCAACTTAAAACCATTAGTTTTCATGTCTGAGCTCAAGACAGACATAATGTTGCTTCCTGCAGAAAAAAAAGTAGGTATAACTTCTATGGTACAAATTCATTGTAAATATAAAGGAAAACCTGCGGCCGGTTACATAAAGGCAGAATAGTTTTATCCATTAGATGGCAAATTGTTTTGAACTTTTACAAAATCTCTTAAAATGGAATAATATGTGATTTGAGCTGAGCAATCATTGAAATAAAATATTGCTTCAAAGATTACAAAATTTCTTTCCCGTAAGGAAAATATAAACACTTTTTTCTACAAATTTGAAAATTTTACTATCCATCAAATAATGCTATCCAGGCTTTTTGCAACCGTCTCCAGATGTACAAGGTACGTAAAAAATAGGTACAAGTGTGTACATGTGGGTAGCCTTGACCAGAGTTACAGTACATGGAACAAACAGTAGTCAGTAGTCCAACTGCTTAGTGTTGTATTTTACATTAAATTAAGTGAAGTCCCAAGGCCATTCCCAAGGTCAAGTCCCAAGGTCATTCCGTAATAATAGCATATGAGAAATAACAAAAAATATTTTCATGTCAAATGGCCACAAAATGAAACCATTCCTTTCTTTGGCACTTCTCTTCTACAAAACGTTCTCTGCGCTGTATGTTTAATAAAAATGCCCAGTAATTATCAGTATTTATTTTTATCGCTCTCCTACGCTTAGTGCATGTTATGCGTGCTGGTGTTCACGTGCTAACATCGAAGTAATACGAGTTTTTTAAATGAAGATTATATCTTATTTGTCTAACAATGGTGTGGTGAAAATATATATCGAATCGGTTTGTTGTGTTGTACGAATATTTGCTTATTGATAGGACTATGTTGCCGATGATTCTGTTCCAATTTACTATTTTATGTTTATTGTTAAAATGAGGAGGCATTGCACATGGTACATATATCATTGCTAATCTAGTTATTTTCCATAGGGTCATAATATATTTAAATTCTTCGTCTTTTTTGACGATCTGTTAAATCCAAATCGTCGTCATTACTAATTGAAATAAATATAAAGAAAACTATATCCTGTCTGCTTTACATTTTCCTCACCAAAAAACAGAACACAGGGTGAGAGATAAAGAAAGTGATATACGAATAAAATACACAACAAAATACAAGCACGGACTGCACAGTGTAGCTATCAAGTTCCAAGCATTGACTATACTATACAAAACAATACTTTTCGTTATTGTTCGCATTTGCGACTATGAACGAGGACACAGCCGAAGATATCACGACAGACAGACAAACACTCCCTCACTCAGACACTTTTTCCGTATTGCCACCAAAATACTTTTAGCAATATGAAATCTGTCAATGATATTAAGCCATTCTGAGAAAAAATTACAGAAATTTGGTAAAATCAACAAGCTTTTATGGCATCTTGAAGTTGTACATTTTTGGCCTAAATCCGTCGTTTTCTATAATACAAAAGAAACTGGCACTAGAAGGTATTTTGACGTCATCCAATATAGTCAGCATTCGGGCATATTTAGCTTATATTAAACATATACGTTCTTTCACGCTGTTTAATTATAATATTCGAGAAAATTATGTCTTGCAAAGAAAGCGATGAATCAAAATCAGAATTGAGCGTTCAGTCAGTTAAATCTGACAAAAACTTTATTCCGGGATACGTGACAGAAAACTCGGAACGCGATGAAACTTGAGCGATAATGATTCGGATTTTGACTCCAAAGCATGGAAGGTCGGAAAGATACAAATTCTAATCTCATCTTTTCTAAGCCCTGGAAAATTAGCGTTTTTTTGATTCGGCAAACTACTGAACTGACGCTCCAAATCCTCTGGTTTTAATCGAGCCGAACAAAGTGTTGAAGCACTGGAAGGCTCAAATACGCGCTTTGCTTTAAAACCCTGACACTCCGTCTTCGCTTGGCCTCGGGCCTTTTATAATTATAAAGCATAATGTGAAGACTCATACAAGAGCAAAGGCTTGACTCGTTCGTACAATTGACTGCAATGCAACTATTTACCTTTTTTCTGCTTTTACTACTGCAAAGGCAATGATATTAGGCGCTTATACAATTAGGCAATGATATTATACAATTAGGCGCTTATACAATTAGGCGCTTATACAATTAGGCGCTTATACAATTAGGCAATACAATTAGGCAATGATATTAGGCGCTTATAGACTTGTGCTTATAGAGTTGTGCCTCAGCCAGCATTGACTTGATAGCAATTGAATACACGACTCGTGTAACACAAGTACCTTGGATGACGTCAGAAAATTAGCTAGGTTCAGACTCTTCATTATCACGGACATGGTTCACAAAAATATACGATTTTAGTGAATTTAACGCTTTTACAAAAATCAAACGATTTCACCAAACTCAAATTTTTTTCCTCAACGAGTCTTAAAATCATCGACAAATTTGATATTGCTGAAATATTTTTTTTGGTGGAAGGGACACTTTAAGACTCACAAGGTAAAATGCCTATTATTTTCACAGTAAAAGAATATAAAAACGTACAAAGAAGGACTAAACATTTTATCAGTCTGGCTACACCACTGAAAATTTTATTCTTTAAAAATTCATAACCATTATCATTGTTTAGAAGGTATTATGATAAAAAAATGAGGAGGTGTAATTTATTTGGACTAATGCTTCATTCACGACTTAGGACCTAAGGAAGACATAATGTAATTGGGACACGGTTATAGGAACATATAGTATAATTTTATAGAGAGCATACAGTAGATTGCATTGAATATTTTTGTGCCATGCATATCTTATTCCGCAAGTGATTACCATAGTGACAGTCAGACACTACCATTTTTTGACCATTTGGTGCACTAAGCTGGCAAACTACACCCAGTAATATAATTATATATACAGCAGTAAGTTGCACAGAAAGTGGTCCTACTGTATATTCTCTATACTGTGGTTGGGGTGGCATAAACATTTGGATGTAATGATCCCTAGACAACAATGGTTTTCAAAGGAACTTAACACATGTAGCCTATATTATGCATACATAATATGATCTCCAAATTAACAATCATCCTACATTCCTGCCACAGTTTTTCTTGCTAAAAAAGGGAGTGTGTCAAGAAGTCAACAAAAGTGATGAAAACAATAAAAATGGTCAACAAAACATTGTAATAACAAAACCAATGAAAAATTGGTGGGCATAATTTTTATGAGAGTTGACTCAAAATTGTGTAAAAGATGTAAGAATCTGCACGCCTATAACCAAAACCATTTTTCATTGGTTAGATTATTATTAAAAAAAAATAGGCAAACTACATGAAATAGCTAGCAACTGAAGAATAAAAACATATCATATACATAAATTAATATGAGCCCCCACCCAACAATTATTGATCTTCCTGTACATGAACGAATCCAAGTAAATAGATAAATCTTGCAACAAAAATATATTTAAAGTAAATGGTTTGAACCCGGGAGTATCGTTATATGTTTGTAAATGATGATCGTCCAGGTTAATAAAGTCCTGAGAAGGACTGTTTTTGTTGTTGTTGACTAATTCACAATGACAATACACATTTCATGTACACACAATACAATGATGTAAGAACCAGACAACAAATACGGCTTACCTGACGTTTACTCCTCATTTGACTCTGAAGATGACTACCGCTAAGGTTGTCGAAACGTCAGTCAACAACAACAAAAACAGTCCTTCTCAGGACTTTATTAACCTGGACGATCATCGTTTACAAACATATAAAAATATATTTAGCGACCACACATTGTCCACAATCATTGATCAGTTATAAAAGATGAAGAACACATATAAAATATTGACTTTAGTATGTTATTTCAGTGGCAAATCAACACATATCAACAAACAAGTTTTATCATATCAAAAGTTCAAAATATGTTGATGTACGTAACTAAGTGAAGAAAACCCTCTACAACGATCATTTAAGATTAAACGATGACAAAAATAACTTTCCAACATGAAAAAATCATGTTAAACACAGTGATTTAATGTTCTGCTTCACTTATATTCATTTCCTTCCCTAAACAATGTTTGAAATCTAACTTGAATATCTTGTTTATGTTTGTTGTATTTTATGGTTTGACAATAACCATGTTTAAATGCTTATCACGAATAATAAAGCAATTTACGTACAAGTTTTAGAGTTGAACTGTAACTACAATGATCATTGTTCTTAGAAATATTTAAACGCCAAACCATCTTTGTTCTACTTATAGATAGGTAAATAAAATAAAATTAATTCGAGTCGCCATCTAAGGAAGTAAAGTCTTATTCTTACCGTTATATTAGATGGAAGGAATATTCCTTATATCATGATCATATATCGCCAGAGAAGTATTTATGGATGATAACATAAGAATTGCACGAACACTTCCTAATTCATATTCAATATAAGGGATGGGCGACTACAGATTACTGAGTAATCGATACCGCTCGATACCAGGCTTCTAGCGAAATAAATCATACCATATATATCGATACCATAGTAGCATCGTAATATTTTCTATTACTCTACAAACACTATAATGTACTAGCTAAAATTCATAGGTAAATTTGTCTTTGTACGTTGTATATAACGTAATTTATCGTCAATAAACTCAATGGCGACAAAGCTTTGTCCCCCCTTCATCGTGTCCACCGGGAAAGAGTTAACATTGATTTCTATTGTCTCGGAACTTGGAATCATCCATATTGAATTTATTATGGCATTATATCATGCTCAATGCGTATCCGCGGACCTGATATTCCACAATTTAGCCAAACCGAAGAACTTTGATACAATAGTAGAGTGGCTAATAATATCGTTTCAAAATTAATGTGTTATACAATTTTACTCACCACATATGACCTAAACGTCTAATTCTTCATTTCAACACGTTGCATAACGTAGTCATCAATATGATTCAGAAAATTAATTTCAATAGAAGATGCCAAAAAGTATATGTGATGATCATGAATGCATGACAAATTGCTTTTCTGAAAATCTGAGACTGAAGATTACCAGATAGAGTGGGTACAAAACACCGGTCGGCTTAACAGTTCTTCAATTCAAAATGTCTTTACGCATCTATGGAAACATTTTGCTTTTGCAAAAGAATGCACGAAAATTTGAGAAAGCTTGGAGATTGATTGCATAAAATTTCTTGAAAATTGTGGGTAAACCTCCCATGGTCTTCATATATGGCTGAATACTCTTTTCTGTGTTGATTTTTGTAAGTGAAGAAATTATGGCTTTGTAGTATTACCGTAATTGAAATATTGCGGTAAATTATTGTCTTGCTTTTATAAGCGATCACAACTTTTTCTGAGCATGTTTTTTCTTTTATGTACATAATAAATTATCTATACTGTTGGCAGTGAGGTACCAGGCGGGAAAAGGACTCTCAATATAAATATTACAGCCCAACATATAATTCTGAACATAGCCATAAGCAATTTGGTTTTGTGAAATTTATTAAAATAGTGACGTTTCGTCTTGACTCAAGACATCTTCAGACTAATATAGAAGTTAACAACGAATTGTAGGTATATATATAATTATTTACATAGTTAGAGGTATTAGATTACTGTGGATGTGTAAGTGTGATGTGATGTATAGTTAGGTTGAGGTGTTGAGACTAGAAAAGCTGGAAAGTCAGAACTTAGTAAGATGAAGTCGTCTTTGCAGTTCTTAGTCATTCCTTCATCTATAGTATTTAACAGCAGTGATATATCATTGAGGTAGCCAAAATTTTCTGTCAAGGGGGAGGAGATAAAAGCGAAGGGGAGCCACAACCGTCGTTGTAATTAATGTAAATAAAACATTTATTTTAGTGGGCCCATGAATTTTGCCAGGGGGCCTGGCTCTCTGTCTAGCTATGTCACCATTGATTGATATGTCACCAAATGATTTTCTTTGTATTGGATAAGTGATAATTCCCATGTGACGTTTTTTTGAAGAAAATTTTTTATTGGCCTGTTGGTCCCAGAAAATGAAATATTTTATGCAACCATGCCCATAAGCTTTAATAAAGCAGTATAATTTATGCAGCTTCTTAAGCAGATGTTACAGTATGGCATATGCAGGAGCAAGCACCTTTAATACTGCAATTTGCATAGAGCTGTACAACAAGTATGGGTCTATGACATAGGCTAGCCAAGATTGGTGAATATTTTTTTGAAACTCTACTTTGTATATTAACATTTTGTAGTGAAAATGACATCCCTCTTGCACCTTCTCTAACCCAGGCAATGATGGGTGTACACCCCTAGCTTTACGACCCTCCGTAAATCCTTTCCTGTGATCATTTATGATTACTTGACAGTAGTTTCAGGCTTCACTATTTATTTTAGACTTAGATGCAGACTGACCTGTTCTTGACTCACTGCAAACCCACAGAAAAGGGTGCTGTTTGTAGCAAGTAGCCATTTCTATGTATAATATAATGACTCGTTAATTTTGAATAGACATTAAATTCATGAGCTCCATTTAAAAGATTTACCTAACCTTTTATCCTTAAGTGCTCACATCAACATTCAAAGCTCTTCATTTAACCCCACGCCAAATGCATTAGAGGCAAAAGAAAATGAGATAAAAATCCTCATTATCTTTTAAATGTATTTGGCTCATGTAAAATGCGACGTATGAAACAAGACCAAGTCTCGTTTACAGTTTTACTTTTATGCTTCGAACTTACGGCAATAGTTCACACACCAATTTAGCAAATTACTTTCGAACGACTTAAAATTATTGCTTTTGAAACAAAATTCAAAAATATTGTTGTTGGCTTCCAAAGTCAAAACACATGGCACATGCTGTAACCATGACGACGTGCGTAAAAAAATTTATTTTATATTATACAAATACTTTGGTGAAATTCGTCGTCAGATCTTAATGTAACTCACGATAATGACATAAGGCTACTTAGAATGTGAGAAGAAAATAATAGAACAGCAAGTTCTTCTTATTAGAAAAAACTAATTTCTAGTACAAAGTCTAAAGCTACTGGCCAATTGGCAAAGCCAAAGCGAGGAGAAAAAAATAAAGCCCCCAAGGCCGACGCTATATTGAATATTTATACCACACATTGATCGCCCACGCATGTCATTGATGATGTCACGTGTCATTATACTTTAACATCTCCTCAGACCCTCACTCACGAAGGTTTACAATGCTCTACGAAGTTGTGATACATGATATTTTTCTTTTCCAAAGAAAATTCTTAGTTCAAAAAATACATGCTCTAGATGATTAGATTAGCAAATGATCAGAGGAGGCAAAATCATGAGAAAACTTTGAAAATTCAGATCACTAGACGACTGAAAATGGCCCATTTTATAGATAACTTTTTTAAAGTCATTATGATACTTGCTGTATGAAATAGCAACATCTTAGAAAATTTTTTTTCAAAAACACTTTTTCCATGAATTAAAAACATAAAGGACCAAGGTGTTGATTACATAAGAAAGTTATCAAGGCTAGGAGAAGCAGAATGTAATTAATATATACGATGAATCCCCGATCTACTGTGCTTAGAAACAAAAAGGGAGACAAAAAATATCGTTGAATATAACCAATTTAAACATTGCCCATTGACCAATATGTTAAGGATACTTACGAATAAAGTTATTGTACAGTTACAATGCTTGATTATTCCCAATGCTTATTAAATTTGTTACTTTTTGAATACTTAATGAACTTCTCGGCTAACCTTGAAAATTCCAACAACTTATTGACAACAAAAACTTATTTGGTTACAACATATAGGATGCCTCTCCTTTTTGACTAGAAATTATTGGATACAAAAAATATCAAGTTCTTTTTCCCCATAATATCTCTAACCTGTATGTACTTTCCTATTAATGACATTGGCATTATATTGGACGTGACGATATTTGAACCTTAATTAACTTACTTGAGTAAGTCTACATTTTACTATGGACTAATGATAAAAATTTTCTATTTATGTTCTAATTTATTCTGTCTATTCCATAACAGGGGCGTAGCAAACTCGTTGATGGGGAAGGTGGGAGGGATCAAATTATGAATGCATATCTTAATATATAGAAAACAATGGATTTCAAAAAGAATTTAATTCTGCAGAACATGCATGTATGAATACGTTCTCCCCCAATTATCGAGTTTGCTAAGCAATTGCATATGGATGTAATATTTATGATCATTATAACAATTTCAATTAATGGTTGTAAAAAGACAAATCGTATTTCGACATGCCATAACAAATTATAGTCATCAAAGTTGTGGAGGAACCGACATAAAATCAAAATGACAGTCCATATTCTGCCTGCTGTCCTCAAAGAGATTGCAGACCTCAAGGTGTCTTAATTCAAGTCCATTTAGTTCATCTTGATTTGTTTCCTGGAGTGAATTGGCATCATCAACTTGATTGGGTTCCTCTGTCAGAAATTATAGAAATTAGTAAAAAGGTTTTTTATTTGTTTGAAAGTGTAGTCGAGAACGGTATGTAGTGAGAGACAGCCAATCTATTGACTCGTGAAAGTCATAGTGGAATACATCGTAAACAAGCTTAAAGAAAAATGACAGAATCAATAACAACCAGATTTATCAAATGGATCACTTTAGGGCAGGCCCTGTGAAATGTGAGTAGGGTTGTCCGTAGAAAGTTGATGGAAGGGGAGGGGGCTTATTCACATTTTTAATTACGCCCAACTGATTTCTTTTGAAAACAATTTACTGAAAGTGCCAATGCAACGAAAATTTTGCAAGTTAAATTATGTTTGCAATGACTAGAACCTTTGAAATTACAGTGTACTTTCTAAAACAGTAAATGCATATTCTCGTGATTTTGACGTTTTTGTTATTTCCAATTTATTTAACTTGTGACGTCATATTGCATAATGAGTTCCCACAATGTTTCAAATACTCTTCAGTTTCCTGACAACTTCAGGTTGATACAAGTAGGCAGCATTTTGTACCATTAATCCTGTCACAATGAAATGAACTCCGTCGTTGTGAAGTAAAGTATCAGTAAATATACCTAAAAATTTTAGTTCCCATTATGCAATGTGACGTCACAAGTTAGATATATCGGATACAGCAAAAACCTCAATATCTCAAGAATTAAAAGTGATATGCATAAACTGGTTTAGAATGTTCATTGTCAATTTAAAATATCTCTTCAATAAAGTATTACTCAGATAGCAAAATTTTCGATTCATAGGCGCTTTAAGAAATTAAACAACTCGCTTTCAAAAAAATCAGTCAGGCACAATTGAATATATGAATAACACACCCTCCCCCACAATCAACGTTTACCAGGTGGCCCTGACTGTGAGATGTATGTGCGGGGGTATCAAAAAAATAGTCAGTGACGAAAAACTTTGCTAAATATTTGCGAAAATTTTAAGTGGAAATAGGCTGAAAGGTGACGACTTCTAAAGAAGTCAAAACGTCAGTCAACATCAACAACTGTAATAACGTAAATGGTTTAAACTCGGACGTATCGTTACATGTTTCTAGATGTAGATCGTCATGGTTAGTAGAGTCCTGAGAAAGTCAACTTGACTTTAAAGGTGACTACTGCTAAGGAATTCGAAACGTCAGTCAACATCAACAACTGTAATAACGTAAATGGTTTGAACCCGGACGTATCGTTACATGTTTCTAGATGTAGAGGTTAGTAGAGTCCTGAGAAAGTCAACGACTGCTAAGGAAGTCAAAACCGTCAGTCACCAACAACAACAATCCTTTCATAACTCTACTAACCTGGACGATCTACATCTACAAACATGTGAAAATTTGACATTAGATAAATCATTGGAAGTCAAACTACTTATTTCCACCAAAGGTTTTTGCGAACCTTGTACGCTGATCGATTTGACACGTTCTCTCAACATTCAATTTTCCCAATCCTGGGGTAACCATTACCTCCGGATTTCTAGCAATTCAACAGGACAGCATATTGATATTTACTGTCTCGATTCAGAGACAAATCGTTCGTTCGTAGGGCCGTACTGCCACTGTAGGATTCCAATGGAATATGAATTTCAATAATCGGTTGCAACTAAAAAATACGTCAAACATGTCAAATACATCGTAAATATGATTTAGACACTACTCAGTGATAACACAAATAGTGATTTAGGTTTTTACATAAAATATTACACGTTTACTTGATTAAGAGCCGCGATGTTTATTAAATTCACAAAGCTAATGTGCGGTGCTCACTTGGGGGGCGGCATTTCTATTATATCGCGCTGATTTGGGAGCGGTGTTAATTAATCAATTTGTATGTGGGGGGTTGATGAAGTTCGTACTTGTGAATTTTACCGTAAAATTATAAAATTTCAATGTTGCCAGTGAGGTGCTAGGTGTGAATCGAATTCTAAATATAAAGATAAGATCCCAAAAGACCGTGTTTGAGAAAGCCGTCAGCATTTGATTTTTTCAGTATTTATTTAAAAAAGCAAGCGACGTTTCATCTTGACTCAAGACATCTCAGACTAATTACATAGACTTACTACGATGCTCAAAAGTTTCTGTTTATTACTTTTACTTTGCTGCGTGCCCTTTTAAAGGAAGCAACTATCTATAACTCCCTTTTTTCTCTTCAGATCTTAAAAACTCTAAAATTGGTCTCTGGAATAGTTGGGAGGGGGACGGTGAATGCACGTCTCCCTCAGCACTTTTCATGGTAAATTTTCCCCCATTACTCAACCCCCTTATATCTTGTACAATCTTTCTTACATTTCCTAACAATATTCAATATCAGCTTTGCACTGTAAGTACACATCCACACAAACCTCACACCTTAACTATCTAAGTAATTACATCTCATTTGAAGATGTCTTGAGTCAAGACGAAACGACAAACGTCACTTACTTTGTTTTAATAAATATAAAAGAAATGGAACGCTTATGGTTATCTTTGAAACCATCTGTTGGACTCTAATCTTTAGGTTGATATTTCAATAAAAATTCTTTAATATTTCAAACATGTTACCTTCTTCAATACATAAACACTGTCTAATTCTTGTTGATCAACGTTATCAACGTCGTCGTCGGTGCTCATGATTCACTGTATAAAGAAAAAAACGTCAAACTACATTAATTGGTCAATTTTGACTTCAAAATATCATTTAATTTCAATAAACATCGATTACAAATCATCTAGAGTTGCAACTACGTAATAAGTACCGTGCTTGCTATAAGCACGAGCATAATTTCTCTTCAACGAGAATGATCATGACGAAGTAAGAGATTTCGAACTATACAATATCACATGTGCAAATGCGTCATTATGTCGTAACAAAACCCCATCATTCTTTGCGGACGCAGACATGATGCATAATAAAAGTGAAAGCCGTTAAGGAGAGTAGCCTTTTGTTATTTCTCAAATTAATATGTTGACTGATGACTCTAAGCGATAAAATAAAATGCAGTCTACTTCTGTCGACACCTTAAGAATAAAATTGAATTTCAACAGATAAATTTTCACAAACTCTTTCGATTTTTGAAATAGAATTTGCCAACAACCATCATGCATAGCGCGCGTTTGTTCGTTTCACATCAAAACAATTGTAGAATCACATATATCAACTATTGTTACTTAAAAAACGAATATCAAAAATTCAACAAACATTGCAGTGATTAGTACAACGAAACATGTAACAATAAATTCAAATTTGGGAAGTGTTATGTCCCAACATTTCTAGGAGCGAATGTTTATTAAATGATTTTTATCTTCTGTCGAAGACTCGAAGATATTTCGATCTTGTGAAAGCTGCTTTTAGTTAACCTCTTAATCACAAGCAGTAACTAACGGTGATTTACATTGACTAGTCTTTGGGATAAATTCATACAATTTATGAAACTTTTAGCAACATATAGATAGCGAATGTTCACGGAAATAATCTTAACAATCTGTGACAAACTGGAATTCAAATTCAGAAGTTCGTTCCCATTTACTTTACTTATGTCACTGAAATTCGAACAACAAATACTTAATACATGATATTTACCTTTTGATGAAAATGCTTTGTACAATTTTATCGAAATTTTCGTAAGGCGTCTTCTCCAATGAATACGATGACTAGAAAATGAAAGTATTGATCTCAGGAAGAATGTCATATGATCTCTGCGTGACTAGAAATACTATATGATTAAATATCATGTGTATAAACTTACGCTAGTTAACATAATTTCTTTCAATAATTGACGAGAATTAGTCAATTTGATAAAAGAATTTCTGGTTTCACAAGAATTATTCCACAATATACAGCATAAGACTTCGGTAGAGAAATTTTTTATCTCACTGTAAATGCTACACGCAAGAAAATACTGGATATTAAAAGTGCTAATAGTCAATTGGTAAAGAAGTGACGACAATAAAAGTGTAGATTTTAGGGGAGGTCTGGTAGTGCAGCCACCAAAGATATTAAAGAAAGTTGAAACATTGCCCAGAAAAACTCAGTTCAACTGTACTACTGATTTGTTTCGTTAAAAATTGAGGTAGTTAAAATGTTTCCAGCAGGGGTATGCAATTTATTTTTGGGAGTTAAATCTAAAGATTGTGAGCCCCACCCAGTACCCCTCCTCAGTAAATCTGTCCATGTTTTATAGTGGTTATCTCATTAATGGCAGGAGAAATGGTAAAGCTGTAATGGAGAAAGTTCTTTTAAAATACTTTTGTTTTCTTGGATTACAGTAAATCACTCTACAAATATGGAATAAAGAACAATTTTTCATTGAAAGAAAATTTACATCGTCGATAGGGAAACAATTCTTATACTAAATCCTCCTAAGTTAAAATGGAAATAATAGTATATATCAATATATGAGTGATTATTTTACTTTTATTGCAAATTCGTAATAGTTAAATTTTAACGTTGCCAACAAATAGCGACACTCTTTTTTAAGCAACATTATTCAAAGATGAAAGTTCAACATAGCTACATAGTATCTCTTGTAATTGTTGGCAGTATTGAGCACATGCTCTCTTCTACAGAGAAAAAATCCCAGTCTGCTTTCAAGACATCTATCAACGGGCTATGTTGATTTTGTAGAACTCATTTCTGTAGAAAATGTCAAACGTTCGCCACTCGTCAGTTTGTACATTATAAATTTCTTACAAATTTGTTATTTTTACATACCATCTTCAGAATATTCACTGTCTTTGACATAAGATTCAGCAGTCTTTCGTTCATTTGTTTCATATTAAAATCCTTAAGGAAAGAAATTTCATCTTAAAGAGTTTCCATCATAAGAAACATGTGCTAAAGCACAATATTTATACATGTGAAAGACAATAAAAATGTAATTTCTAAAGACAGTGATAATTAGACAAATAATGTATTCATTTGATTTACTAGTTAGAGCAATAATTAGCAATTGGGAATAATAATGTGTAGTTTTGACAAACCATAGAGGAAGATGTGGCACTGGAATTTTTTTTGGCCAGTCTTTCTTAAGTGAATTATCTTAAATGAATTTTTTTTATTACTTTGTGGGAGCTTGGTTTATTGTAATATAGTTGTTTTATGTCAGGGACTTAGGAACTGAAACATTTCTCCCTACAACTGAACGATCTTGATGCATAACAATTTAATTATAATGAATTATGTAAGAAAGTGACTTGTTTGAAAACAACTGTTTGGAGCATACATTTTTTCATACAGTGGTTATTTTTGGCAATTGTGTGGTAATGTCCCAAAAATTCAAAATATAAATACTATTTAAGTGACCTTTACTGAACAGTCCACCTACTTTAAGTAGACATGGTCACCTTTTCCAAGATTAAAATTTGATTTTTCATTGTTCAAAACTGTATTAAATGGTCGGGTGAATTAAATACCCACTACATATAAAAATTAGTCATTTAAAACAAAAGGACAACTTTTTTATTATAAACATCAACTTACATTAAGTCAACTTCAGTAGACTGGAAAGTTGAAACATGTTTATAAAAAAACAACTTGTTGTTTATTTCAAATCCATAATTAATCTGGTGCTTTTGAGATCATACATACATACATATAACAATTTATAAAACCAACACATACAGTGTTTTGTGAAGAAGCAAAAAATGCCATGTTCTAACAGATATTTCAGAATGCAAGATTAGTAAGAGATGTTGTGTGACTGGTAACTTTATAATAAGTCTTAAAGTATTTCAAAGTTTTGAAAAATATAATTGTATTGGGCATTAATTTGATTAAATCCAAACTGAGGTTGTTGCTTTTGTTTAAATATTTTGCTACCATTATATTTAAAGATGTGTTGTCTCATTTAACACATAAACGAATGCAGCATTGATAAATTAAAATTTAAAAGAAAATGAATAAAAAAAACAAATGTGTTGCCTTTTAGGTCCTTCTCAACTAAACCCCAATAACAATGACAACATTCTACCGCATAATTCATAAAATGTTCAAATTTACTGTTTCATTTATGACCAAATATAAAATAAAATGCACTTGCCAGATAATTTTGTTCAAAATCTAAATTATAAATCATTAAAAAACTTTACTTACCACTGTACGTTTTACAGACATTAATGACGATGTGTTTACGGAATCATGTAGCATGCGACGTCTGAAAATTGCATCGCTCGCGCGCAAATTCTCACGATTTTAATTCCTTTCATTTCATAAATTTCATACACACATATAATTTTTCATAGCTCATACAACCAAACAACCAAATAAACGATGACAAAAACGCAAGATTAATGAAGAAAAGTTAAATCACGTTTTTGTACGACTACTTCCGCTTGCATGAGCACCAAGACTGTTGCTTTGTAAGGGGAGGGGTAGATAATATGTTGCAAATGTTTTTGGCTGATGATATTCTTTATCAGTTGATGGTTGCATGTGAAAAGAGCGAAGTTTTTCGATGTGTATTTTCTGCTAATAACTCATACAATACAGATCCTATAAATAAAGAAAAGGTATAGTCATTTTTTAACCTCATGGTTTGCCACAGACCACATGTACTAGGGCTTCATTATTTGAAAGTTGGTGCTACAGTTGATGAAATTAATAGAAAAGATTTGTTTAGTTTGTAACACGCTCTCCATTAATTTATCTCATTTCCTCATTATCCTTATAACTTATCCAAATTTATATCTCTCATTGTTATTGTATCATAATACTTTTATAAACCCTGTATTTATTTATTTATTCACTCATACTGAAGATGGCATCATGAGATGTCAAAACATGTCTATTTTCAAAAATTAGTCGTCTATATTAAATGCCAAACAAAACAACTGGCATCATATTCTACAAATTCACTATAGCGACGATTGAAATTGTTGATCGTCTTGCTTTTATCTTGGATATACCAAGCAAAATGATTTAGCTTAAAGCACTTCGTGCATTTTTTCCATAAGTCTTGCATTTCCCTCGCTTGTGAGTGTAAGAATAAAATTTACAGTCTTTTAGTAGGGAGTTATCATAACTTAATGATTCTCTGCCAATATTCTTTTTTGTTTCTCGTGAATTTTATCTTCTGTATACTGTCAATATATTCTTTGCCTTTTAATTTCCTTTTGAAGTTCCTTCATATGTCTCTTCGTTTTCTCAGCAGCATGTCCATTTGTACAGTTTTCTGTAGTGTTGATTCTGGTTCTCTAAGTAGACGTTCACGAAGACGGTTATCATTAAGTCCACATATTATAATGTCACAGATGAGATCATCTCGAAGTATTTTAAACTTGCGTTCTGCACTACGCTCCTTCATACTAAAGTTTGATTATGACATAGGCATTTGCTATCTGTTATAAATATGACTGCGTTAAGTATTTAAGGTATAGTAGTAGTATATGAAATGTTACATACCAACTTCCAGAAACTACACCAGCTGTCCTACTTAGTTTCGGTTGGGTATAATTAGACAACATGCTGGAAAACGTGGAGATCCAATTGATTTTCCACTTGTAAATGTCCTAATAACTTTTTCTATCTTAAAAACCGACATGGAATAATTTTTGCAAATGTATATGTATATATGTATATATATGTTAGAGCTCACAGCAAAGTAACCAAATAAAATGACAAAGTACAATCAACATGTTCGACTGTAGTGTAGTCGACATACATGATAAGCAAAAACACAAAAACAAGAATATTGGTTTACTGTGAAATACCTTCATTGATAACCTAGTTGGTTACAACTAATATAACACCCAAGAAAAAAATTAATGCGACAGTTGAAAATTAAATGTGGAGAGTAAGATTTGTTTATTTTTATGGCTTGCCAAAAAAACATTTTAGCAACACTATCAAAAAAAAGTTATTGTACACTCAGACTTTAGAGGAGCCTTTAAAAAACTGCCACAAGCAGACCCGAGAAGCTCACCTTCCTTAACGCTCCAAAAACACAGGAAAAAGCATAGGGTATTAGATATAAAAACCGAACAGGGCCACCTCCCACAGAATGGATTAAAATTGGGATCATCATCATCAAAGTTCTGCAACGCGATCCACATCACACCAAAGTTTACAGATTTAAAGAATCACTAGAGGAGCAGAAATGTTTTCACTATTTAACATCAGTTGAAGAACAAACACTCGTATGCACTAATGTTAATGAACTGTTCATGATGACCAAATATACACCAGATAAAACTATCTCAACCAAATCTCACCAATAAGCAGCAATCCATGGCCCCCAAAACCACTTCCAGAAACGACAAAAGGATGGCGGAGACCTTCACCACTACAGACTGCAAAAACCATGAAAATATCTTTACCAGCGCAAACCATTACACCAACAGAACCAAACCTGCTCGAACTAGTAAACACAAGCACAGATTACTTGACTACAAAAAGGACTACAGTAGAAGCTTTACAAAATGAACGAATAACACATAGCTACTTATTGTCTGCAACTGTACAATTTTACATCTTCAAAAAATTTAGGGAGGAAGGATTGAGCATATTCATACTGCCCTTAGTTAATAAGGAGCGTGCACTCAAAATTTATTGTTTTCTATCTTGTGTATAAAAACAAAATCTTTACACTGTTTTTGTTGGAAACATTTGATAAAGATTCATATTTCGTAAAAAAGTCTCAGTCCTATAGAGAAAAATGCCAAAAATTCGATGTCGATAAAAATAAGATCATTTTCTTCTTTATAGCACGTCTTTTGGTTTAACAGCCGCTAGTGATAAATATGAAATAATTTATAGCAGCATTTTAGGTCAGAGATCACTGGAGTCACATAATTCAAACACACACACAACACGCAATAATTTTTCAACAAAACAATTTCTTTACGACTACATTCTATATTACAGTGCAAAATTAATAAAAGTCATGCAAATACTTCTTAATAAAATCACCTAAAGTTATTTCATTATATGTTTTTGCAAAATTTTTGACACACATATCAACTGCCTGTTCTTGTCCAACAAAATGAACAATTCATTTCCTTCAAATGGACAGTAATATCACATGTACATAGTTCCATGCAACAAAAAATCATTGACTAATAATGTAACTAGCCCACTCGTGTCAGTCGTGCTATGCAAATTTTTGAGCATCATCATCATTCATTTCTTTAGAATACGTTAATTTTCAATTTTTAAATTTGCACAGTAAAACTTAATGAGTTAACTGGCTACACTACATTTATTGAAGACACATATAAAAAAAGCCATTGAAAATTTTGAAAATAACCATTGAAACATCCTTAAAAAACTTAACTTCCTGAGAAAAACGTTCAAAGTGTCGTATACTTCTCATCGTTGTAGATTGACGTTACTTTCACATTTTGATGTTACTGTAGTCTAGACACACTATCTATATGAAACAAAGTAGACATGAAACTGTCACTCCAGGTTGAGGCATCGACAAAAATACTGAACGATAGCCCATTGGCTACAAAATCTTTGTAATCATGCGACATTCTTTTATTCTCTCTCACAAATGTTCAGTCACTTTAATTGTTTACAGTTTTTCAAGAACATTTGAAATTCCCTTGAAAACGGTTGTGTGGATGACCATTTTTTCACGTTCAGGTTTTAAAAGTGTTGTCAACAAAGTCAATAACCAATATCACAGTAAAATCACAGAGCCTTTGTCTTCCAGTTCTGCTCGCAGATGAAACTTTATGGTTTGAGAAAAATAGAAAACTATGCCACCAAGTGCTTTAGTAGATAAATTAGTCATTTCTTTAGTTTGAATTTAGACAGTGCAAATTTTCAATATGCTATAAATTAATAAATATCAAATCTCGTTGGACATCCATTTCCAGTATGCTCACTGATCTTTGAGTGAATAATGTTCTTTTAATTGTTTAACACTTTTAATACAAATACACTTTAATTAAGTTCACGGGCTTCGCTTGTCCAACAATACTAAGTTCTCTTTTGTCGCAGCCCATAAATGATACGATTGATTCACAAAGCACAGGTGTTCACAAAGCAAAATTCTTGATTTAAAATTTCTCAGTAAAAGTCATAGATGTGTCCCCGAACATCCTTTCACATACAGCACTGTAGCTTTTGTTCTTTCTTTATATTTGCAAAACTCTTTAAAGCTTTTGTTAACTTTTCTCGTTCGTACAATAACACATAGTTTGGAGTGTTTTTGAATCAATCAACACTTGTTTAACACAAAATTGAATGTCCATTATGAAGTCGATTTCTATTGTACATTTTACTTCTTCACATGTTTCTTCACATTTAGTGGTGCACGTGGTTTGGTTTTCTATGTAACTGCTTTAATATTTCTCGTTTAAATTTACTTGAGCATTATTCATACTAGTGAATGTATAGTAGTAAGACAGTGTAAAGTACAGAATGAATAATAGAGTGAATTTAAAATTATTTGGACTGTAATGTCATAGATATGAGCCTCTTTAAAGATAAATTTTAACAATACAAATAACTTGCCAAACAGCATATACATGAGCTTTGCTTTCAAAAATGTTCTACCTTCTTCAAAATAAATCCAGTCAAGATCTTTACGAACCACAATACACTGCACTTCCCATGCTTATTGTTAAAATTTATATTTAATTGACCCTCTCAATTGTGCAAGAATTGAATACGTTCGTGCTGACCTTTGACAAGCTGAAACCAAAACCTTTAACAGTAATCGAACGAAATACCAATATTTTAATACTTTATACAACATATTCTTCGACATATTCTCCAACAAATATTTAGACCGATTCGGGCAAAGAGTTTTTTGAAGAATATATCGAAGTTTATTTTGTTGAACCTGCAATGGAGTAAGTCTTTTAATGCCTTTTTTTTGTTTGTTAACAATTCTTGACTGAGACTAAAGAGAACAGTTATATCACTTTTTGAAACAAAACACACTGTGTCAAAGATTTTAATCAATTGTTTCGTTGTTTGCCAATTTTCAAACAAAAAAATTGACAACGTTAACAAACGTCTCTTTTGGCTAACATCATCATGTCCTCCTCACCTTATTGTCTATGTATGTAATCAACTAATTCCCAAGGAAGGGGTTCTTTAGCAACTGCTAATGTATTTAAAAGTGACTGAAATTTTTCTTTACTGATTTGAAATGAATCTAATTCGTCACTTATTCTTTTTATGGAAATTTCGTAATATTCATTGAGATCCATGAAAGAAAAATTGTTCAGACGTTAAAAATCTCTGACATCGATTTTTCATTTAATGTTAAAAACGTGTCTTTAAACATCTTTTCGTGTGCAACATTGTCGTTTGTTTTCTTTCTCTCTTCGTGCAGTAACACATGGTTGGAGTCTTCAATCTCAATGGTTAAATTGTTTATCACGATGATGAACGTCAATCATGAAGTCATTTTCTTATGGAGTTTACGATTTAACTTTTAACAATCAGTGACAAAGACAGCCAAATTTTTAATTTTGCTAGAAAAATATATGGCAAAGGTACCATTGCTTTATTATAAATTTACATTTCTCAAATGCATGAAGACGCAAATATTCATGTAACAAAAGTGACAATTGGGCTGTCTTTGTCTCAGTTAATAACTTAATAACATCGATGATTTGTAAATCAAAACGCAATAATTAAAATGTATCAAAAAATGCTTTTAGTGGAAGATAGAATTGATTAAATTACTAACAACTTGCTTTAAGTGTAAAATAGTAACAAAAAACGTGCCACGTGAAGTATTAAAACCATTCTGCTTCAAATAAATTTGCAAGAAAATTATGATTACATGACGTTTTAACAAAACATAATATTTAGGTGCAATAACAAACACTAGTTTGCCTTTTCTATTTTTGTGTGAAAAGATAAAAGTCAATAAAATAATTTCGTTGTACAAGTAAATTTATTGTCTCACACGAAAGTCCTTTTTGCTGTTGGTTTGCTTCATTATTGTTTTTCAATTGCCATCTTTACTTGATGAAGTTAAGTTTTCCTGCATGATTTCCAAAATTGTTGACATTGATGAAGATGACTACCGCTAAGGTTGTCGAAACGTCAGTCAACAACGATGGACGATCTACATCTACAAACATATAACAATACTCCCGAGTTCAAACCTTTTACTTTATTGTTGACATTATCGTCAAACTGCAGTCTCTTTACAGAAAAATCAAAGTTAGACAAAGGTCATTTTATAAAACCATAAGCAAACGGACTTAATTGAAATGTCAACAATGTTGGAGATCATGCATAAGAACTGAATGAAATTTTCTTTAAGATAATGTAGTTGACATGTCATGATCAAACATGGGAAGAAATTTTATCATCAAAGATCACATTTATTCCCGTGGCAAGATGATTTTTGCGCAATATATCGGGACAGCAAAGGAAAAACTAAAAAAAAGTTTGCGTTTACGACAGAAATAAAAAGTTGCAAGTGACATTTTATCACGCGGTCTTAGTAAAATGCTCTTAAAATATTTCAAATCAATCACTTGTAAGTTAACATTAATCATAAATCTACAATCAAGAAAGAAAAACTTACCATAGACTAAATTCTTAGTAAAACTACAAATAATTTGTAGGTTTTTGATGTCAAATACTTTCACATACAGTCCTGGGTCACCTATCAATAATTTATCTGCTGAAGGTGAAAAAGCAGCGTAAGTTTTACAGCGAATAATATCACGTGTGTACTTTCCAGCGTGTTTGTTCACGATGAAATTGGTGATTTCCTCCTTAATTACGTCATCCCAACCATTAACAAGTTTGTCTTCATGCCACATACAGTAAATTATCTGATCCTTAAATTCAACTTTAGCAAACACGTGATACTTAGAGCTACATGCAAATACGTGCACATTTTGATAATTTTCAAAATTCACTGATATTTCTTTTCGCTTGTTTTCAACATTGAAAAACACAAAAGAATCAGTTTTTTGACAAGCAAATGATATATCACTCACCTCAAAAATTTTGTTTGTACCTTTTAGTTCATCGAAACTATTAACATGTTTTGTAAAATCATTATTCCAAAGCTCAGGAATATTTTTTGCCGTGAGCAAAATAACTCCATTTTCTACAGCAACCATGTCCCTAACAAAACATTCCTTGACAACAAAGTCAAATGTGTTGCGATTGTATATACTTACCCTTGATGTTACTTCATTGCTCCGATACAGAAATTTTCCATTTAAGCAAAATTTCCTGTTACGAAAACTGTAACTGTTAGTTAAACATGCACGCGGTATTGAATAAAGATAAAAGTCAAGTCCGTAATTAAACAAAAGTACATTGTCGTTATACAAAATAAAATAATACATAAATAACATATAAAAGGAAAAGCTAGGTCCGTTGTCATCGAAAGGATCGAGAGGAAAAAACGAAGTTTCGAAATCAGGATCTAAGTCAGGAAGTTTCAAAACAGTGGGATTTACAATGAAAGGCTTTATCCCAAAAAGAGGATGCCAACAACAACACCAAGAATGAAGACCAACAGTGAACAACTTACTTGAAAAACTAGACGGTAAATGAACGCCGTAAACGAATGTTTTATAATTATTCGCTACATCAAATATTTGAACCACTTTTCTTTCCTCAACAACACACAAATATCTTCCAGAATTAGAAAAACACAGTGAGGTCACATTATTACATCTAATACTGCGTTTCTTCTCACCTTTCTTAACTTCCCATACTGTCAAAGTAACTAGTGACCATTGTGTACTTATCCTTAGAAAAACATTTGTCCGTAAAGAACTTAGAAGTAGAATCATCACAATGGAACGGACTGGAGAAAATTTTACCATTAATATCTAATATCTTATTAAGCTGGGAAGCAAAAATCAAATCTTCGAACGGATGAAAGACAACGCAAAATTCTCCCTCTTTAAATTGCTTAAACTGACCATCAATATTTTTTATCCATAAACATCTGTTTGTTCTCAATGAAAAAAGTTGCACGACGAATCCATAATAACCACAGACGACGTAATCATGATTTCGTGAAACATCAACAGACTTCAAATTTTGATTTAAACGTAATAATCGAGCCTTTACAAAACCCGTGTCTTTGCACTCTAGATATGGTGAGTCTTTGAAACGTGTTTGAAGCATTGTGATGGCTTGAGACGAAAGATCTTTGACGTCGTTGGCAACGTTTTGTAAAAAAATTACTTTATTGCCTATACGCTTAGAGTACGTCATTACAGAAAAAACTTCATTAAATAACAATCGAATGTCCTCAGAAATAAGAAAGTACACATCATGTGCGTTGAATAGTTTAAAATTTTCTAAAGCACGACGAGAGTCAACCAAAATAGAAGCAACTAAAACTTCCAAGTCAACAAGATATTTACCAACATTTTCAACGATATAATCATTATCAGAAATATCAAGTAAATGAAGCAACCAATACTTAACTGAATAACTCACTGACGCATGTTTAATGACGTCATAGTTTACACCTTCAGCTTTGAGGTTATCGAAAGATTTTAAGCAAAATTCTAAAACAAGTCGATGACCACAAGATGTTTTTACTGAGTAATCATGTTTTCGATCATCCAAAAACCAATCATTTAAAGATTTGTGAAAAAACGAAACACATTCTTCTCCATTGGTAACAAACAGACAAGAGATAATTTTTCTAACCCCAAGTGATATGTAATTTGAATTCAAACAAAGAACGTCATCGATCATTTCCCAAGGAAGAGGTTCTTTAGCAACAGCCAGAGCATTTAAAATTGACTGAAACTGTTCAAATATAATTCCTACTTAATCTTGTTAAGCAAATTTTGTAATATTCACTGAGATCTTTTGGTATTGAAGTATTCACCAAATCCTGACTTTTGACTTCACTGGTAAGAAGTGATACAAGCAACATAAGTCCGTCAGTCTTTTCTGCCAAAATTTTTTTCAAACCAGGAATGCTGTCAGTAGAGCCAACTCTTTCTTCAATGATAAAATTAATATCGTTTAAATTGCGCTTATCTCTGCAGTTAATGAACAGTGGATTTAATTTTTCAAACTTATTCAAAGCAACTTCGTTAGGTCTGGTTGTAATTACAAAGCGAAAACAATGCGGAAGTTTGTGCAAGTGATTAGCAATAATATTAGCAAGGTCATCTCTTTCTGGATAACCACATTCATCAAGAGCATCAAGCACAACTAGCATTCGCTTGGGAACTTCTGAGATATTATTAAACAACTCGGTGAAAAGAAGGGAAAATAATCCTTCAACATTCATGTAATTCAAAGGCTCACACAGTTGACCTGAAAGTTTTTTCACAAGAAGTTGTTTGTAAGAAGGAAACTTACGACTAATTTGCATCGCTAAAGATTGAAGAAGTACATTGGCTTTATTGTAACGACTGTTGTTGTGTTGAAAGAAATGAGCTGCAGTCAAATATTGTGGATAACGTTTACATAAAGTAGCTGCAATTACAGACTTTCCCATGCCAGCAACAGCAGAAATAATAAATGCACGATTTTGAGAACTGTCGTCTTCAAACCAAGCCAAAAACTCATCAAAAACCCATTCCCGAGTTCCCTCTAAAAATTTTTCATTATGATGTCTAATTTCACTTTCAAAGTTACAACTTACAAGGTGACGTTTCATTTCTTCCTGATGACTTATCATTTCTTCCTGTTTACTTTCAATTACACACAAACGATTCTGTACATCAAATTTGAATTTGTCCCATTCTTTCACAATTCTTTCACATTCTTCATTACCAAACAACTCATTTTTCAATCTATCTATTTCTTCCTGACTTATTCCTAAACGAACTAATGGTTCGCTTATTTCCGCCAAATGATATTCAAATTCATCAAAGCTTAGTGAAGTGTCAGGTAAGTGAGCAAAACGATCATTACGAAATAACCTGATACGGGTAATATCTGCTTCAGTTGAATAATCAGTGGGGTCATTTACTGACGTCCATATTGGATCACGAGGTGATTTTAAACCACAAATATTACGCAGTAGAATACAAAGTAAAGTAATGTCAAACTTATTTTCATTTGGTAATATTGGAGGATCTGGATACAGTTCATCCCACTGATGTGGATGGATTTGTCTATTCTTTAGACTTGAAAGTAGTTGCGCATTTTCGGGATCATTTAAAACATAAAATAAATCAGTACCTGACAGTTGTTTCCTCAATGTTATTCTTAAAGCTTCTGCACCAACATCAACAATTAATCTCATCAACTTAAAACCATTAGTTTTCTTTTTAGAGCTCAAGGCAGTCTCCATGTCGCTACCTGTAGAAAAAAAGTAGGTAAGACTTCCATGGTACAAATTCATTGTGATTATAAAGGAAAACCTGCGGCCAGTTACATGAAGGCAGAATAGTTTTATCCATTAGATAGCAAATTGTTTTGAACTTTTACAAAATCTCTTAAAAAGGAATAATATGTGATTTGTACTAAGCAATCATTGAAATATTGCTTCTAAGATTACAAAATATCTTTCCCCTAAGGAAAATATAAACACCTTTTTCTACAAGTTTGAAAATTTTACTATCCGACGAACAATGCTATCCAGGCTTCATGCAACCGTCCCCAGATGTACAAGGTACATAAAAATAGGTACAAGTGTGTACATGCGGGTAGCCTTGACCATAGTTACATTACATGGAACAAACAGTAGTCAGTAGTCCAACTGCTTAGTGTTGTATTTTTCATTAAGTGAAGTCTTGAGGCCATTCCCAAGGTCAAGTCCCAAGGTCATTCCATAATAATAAAATATGAGAAATAACAAAAAATATTTTGATGTCAAAATGCCACAAAATAATCAACGATAATGGTTCGGATTTTGACTCCAAAGTATGGATGATCGGAAAGACACAAATTCTAATCTCATCTTTTTTAAGCCCTGGAAAATTAGCGTTCTTTTGATACGGCAAACTACTAAACTGACGCTCCAAATCCTCTCGTTTTAATCGAGCCGAACAAAGTGTTGAAGCAATGGAAGGCTCAAATACGCGCTTTGCTTTAAAACCCAGATATTCCGTCTTCGCTTGGCCTCGTGTCTTTTATCATTATAAGGCATAGTGTGAAGACTCATAGGAGAGCAAAGGCTTGACTCATTCGTACAATTGGCTGCAACGCAACTATTTACCTTTTTTCTGCTTTTACTAGTGCAAAGGCAATGCTTTTAGACGCTTATAGACTTAAGTTGTGCCTCAGCCAGCATTGCCTTGATAGCATTTAAATACACGACTCGTGTAACACGTGTACCTTGGATGACGTCAGAAAATTAGCTAGTTTCAGACTCCTCATTATCACGGACATGGTTCACAAGAATATACGACTTTAGTGAATTTAATGCTTTTACAAAAATCAAACGATTTGACCAAATTCAAAATTTTTTCCTCATCGAGGCTTAAAATAATCGACAGATTTGATATGCTAAAAAAATTTTTGGTAAAAGGGACACTTTAAGACTCACAAGGTAAAATGACTATTATTTTCACAGTAAAAGAATATAAAAACGTAAACTTTTTATCAGTCAGGCCACACCACATATAGTATAATTTATAGAGAACATACAGTAGATTGCATTGAATATTTTTGTGACATGCATATCTTATTTTGCAAGTGACTACCATAGTGGCGGTCAGACACTACCACTTCTTGTCCAATAGGTGCACTGAGCTGGCAAACTACACCATGTAATATAATTATATATACAGCAGTAAGTTGCACAGAAGTGGTCGTACTGTATATTCTCTATACTGTGGTTGGGGTGGCATAAACATTTGGATATAATGATCCCTAGACGACAATGGTTTTCAAAGGAACTTAACACATGTAGCCTAGATTATGCATACATAATATGATCTCCAAATTAACAATCATCCTACAGTCCTGCCACAGTTTTTTTGCTAAAAAAGGGAGTGTGTCAAGAAGTCAACAAAAGTGATGAAAGCAATTAAAATGGTCAACAACACATTGTAATAAGAAAACGAATGAAAAATTGGTAGGCATAATTTTTATGAGAGTTGACTTAAAATTGTGTAAAAGATGTAAGAATCTGTACGCCTATGACCAAAACCATTTTTCATTAGTTAGATTATTATTCTAAAAAAATTGGCAAACTACATGAAATAGCTAGCAATAAAGACATATCTTATACATAAATTATTATGAGCCCCCACCCAACAATTATTGATCAAAAATATAACGAGCGACCACACCTTGTCCACAATCATTGATCAGTTATAAAAGATGAAGAACAAATATAAAATATTGACTTTAGTATGTTATTTCAGTTGCAAATCAACACATATCAACAAACAAGTTTTATCATATCAAAGGTTCAATATATGATGATGTACGTTACTAAGTGATGAAAACCCTCTAAAACGATCATTTTAGGATTAAACGATGACAAAAATAACTTTCGAACATAAAAATATCAAGTTAAGCACAGTGATTTAATGTTCTGCTTCAATTATATTCATTTTCTATACAATGTTTGAAACCTAACTTGAATATCTCGTTTATGTTTGATGTAATTTATGGTTTGACAATAACCATGTTTAAATGCTTATGAAAAATAATAAAGCAAACTAGTTTTAAGTCGAATCATACCTACATTAGTCAAAGTCTTAAGTAAATTTTAACTGAAAAACTGTCTTTTCTACAGCAACTACTAATATATATATCACTCACATGCTTATTATATCGACAATGACAAGAGAAAAGAAGCATTTATGTATTTCAACTTTAAGGAAATCGATGTCATTGTTTGCTACTTGAGAACGATTAAATTTGATGCAACTGTTAGTTTATTACATAGTTTTCAGACAAATTTTCGGATCCTAGAAAACGGATCCTGTGAACACAAAAAAGTGAGCCTTAGACAGACTGATACGTCCATCTAAAAATCGTATTAAAAAAGAGCTTGTTCTATTTTCATTAAACAAGATCAAAGAAAACTGACTAGTCAAATTACATAGATTTGAGAAAGACAAGTAAACAAGAACAAAATACGAAAAATATATCGATAAATGTTCTGGATAACACAAATATAAATATCTCAACGAACATAATTATCAACAAAATTATCCGACCGTTTGAGCAAGTAACCAAATTAAAGTCGGAACCGAAACAATCAGATAGGACAAATCGGATCGAGTTTACATAGTTTATTCCATAGTTTTCAGACAAATTTTCGGATCCTAGAAAACGGATCCTGTGAACACAAAAAAGTGAGCCTTAGACAGACTGATACGTCCATCTAAAAATCGTATTAAAAAAGAGCTTGTTCTATTTTCATTAAACAAGATCAAAGAAAACTGACTAGTCAAATTACATAGATTTGAAAAAGACAAGTAAACAAGAACAATATACGAAAAATACATCGATAAATGTTCTGGATAACACAAATATAAATATCTCAACGAACATAATTATCAACAAAATTATCCGACCGTTTGAGCAAGTAACCAAATTAAAGTCGGAACCGAAACAATCAGATAGGACAAATCGGATCGTGTGAACGGGCCTATGTGCATAACAAATGCAAGTCATGAATTTTAAGGGCTAAGAATATATTTTAGTGTTAACAGCAGAGAACGCTGATTCTTAGAGAACATAATGTACATTCAAATGTGTATATACAGAAATAAAAAATCCCCGAGAATTCAACATAAACTTTTTCTACGAACATCTACTTTTAAAAGTGCAATTCTACTTTATTTTACCCGCTACATTTAACCTGCAACTTGAGAAATAGTTTCACTTTTTCGGGCAGAAAAATAATGTATAGATAATCTCTATGGTACAGAGCTTATATGCTGACTATATTCACATGTAAAATAAATTTTTGCGAAGCATTTTTTGATTGATGTTTTAAAACAGTTTGGTTTTACTTTCCTACAATTTGGCACATGGAACAATTTAAACACAAGAAACGATGCTAAACATTTTCATGATAATTTTCCTAAACACCACCACATGAAAAGAAGGAAAATTTTAAGAAGATTCGTGTTTATTCCCCTTATCCATGTTTATCCCCACATACGTGTTTCATCGCAACCCAAATTGGACTATATACCAGACAGACAGTACATCCTACTAAGTACAAGTTGCTGTTACCAGTCGTTTTACTCTTTGATTAAGTATCTAGTCTTAAATTAATACGAGATAGCATTGTCCAAATGAGCTTTAAAGGTTAGAAAAGATGTAAATAAACGTGTCATTAAACTTAGGTCAAATTTACAAATATAATACTAGAAAAAATACATAAATTTAGCTCAGTAAAAACTTTCACTGCTTTCCATTGTATACAAACACGAATTATATAAAATAATGAAGCAAAGTAGTTGATTTTTGTGATAGAGCAACTATGAAGGCTTTATTGTTATTCATTCGTTTCTTTGTTGCAATTCTAAATGTCATCATGGCATGTACAAGTAAGCACAAAAATATGTATAAAAAATATGCATAAATATGTATTCATAAAAAAATAATATGAATGAGTCAAATATCTAAACATGAAGCTTGTACATTTATTGGTAAAATCAAAATCACATAACAATGCCCCTACTTCTTATCAGACGTGTGTAAACAGCTATCAAAATTATAAGACAGTTATTGCCTCAATCCATGTCAATAAACTTATTCGCACTGTTAGTATATAATTCATCGTGAATATCCCACATGATTCAGATATCATTCCTTTTGTAAGTTGTTAGGTTTACCCATTTAATACAATGTTCCTAGAGCTTGGTTAGCAGTTAGATCATTTTAATGTGTAATTTTTACTATAAAATGTTTGATTTTGAACTACATGTGTATTGTGTAATGGTGAAGGATGAATGTGTATGTTACGTGCGTGGTCCCGAAAGAATAAGTATTAATTTTGGTTCTATTTCCACACGCAACAAAGATAGTGTGAACCAGTTATATTTCTTAAACAATTTATTAATAAAGCGTAAATATTAAAAGTAGATAAGTGTCTTAATAATTATATCAATAAGTATGAGTAAAACTTATCTCCTCTGTCTGAGTACAACCGCGAGTCTTTATTCTTGAGCGTTCGTGAGTCCAACAATGACTCACAATAGTTTTCCAATAGATTAAAGCACAGAAGCCAAAAGATAGTTATGGCACAGAAGCCAAGATAGTTGTTTGGTAGATTGTAGCTTGTCAACCTACTTCGGTAGGCTATGCCTCCTAAGTTTCTCCTCGTAGCTTGTGCTCGTAGGTTGTCCTCGTAGGTTGTACTCAGTGGTCTAAACTACTGATATATA